CTCCGCGACCCTCAGGGACAGTCCCCGCTGGTTTCACAGCCTTAAGTTGTGGGGACGTCTCTTCCCGGCCCTGGAGCCCTGGGCTGGGGCCTGCTGTAGGGCTTGGAACCCTCCCTCCTCCGGGAAACCTCCTCTTCCGAGATTCCCTCCTGGGTTTACCTGCAGCACTGGGTGTGGGCCCCTCAGCCCGGGCTTTGATTCAGCCCCGCCCCGCCCACGTCTCCCCCTCCTCCCGGTCTCGGTGCTGCCTCAGCTCCCTGGTTGCGGGGCTTCTGTGCAGCCGGATCTCAGGAGGCTCTGAGCGATGGTGGTTCTGTGTTTAGCTGTGATTTTGATGCGGTTGCGGAAGGCGGCGGGGGCAGCTGTGACCTGCGCCGCCATCTTGTTTCCCCCCCTCCAAAGCCTTTTTTGTTATGTTAATTACTAGTCATTTTTGGTGCTTGTGTCTTAGGGTAATTTTACCACAATGCTAAGGTGTCAGTAAATTCAGTGAACCACCTGCAAAAGCATTCCTACCTATTCCTCGAGTGTAGGTCTCTTCCAAATATCCTCCCAAATCTGAATCGCTATCAGGACTGAAGCTCCCTTCGCTGGCATCATCATCAAACAACTTCTCATCACAGTCTGGATCCAGGAAGGTCAGATACGTGTAGAAAGATGTGGTGAGAAATTCCGAAAGGCTCCCTAATTTTACTCTGCCAAGGAGACACTATGTTAGAGATATAGGTGCATGTGGACAAACTTTCACTAATGAATCATGGAAAGACTTTTCAACAACCAGGTGGCACTTCTGCCAGTATCAATAAATATATCACTCTGCAGTAGTCAGCCAAGAAATTAAAATGAAAATTCAATAGCGAGTATAAAGTGGAATCACACAGCATATTAACAGCCAAAATGAATCACGCTAATTTCTTACTCCCAAACCCAACACAAATAGAAATCTATTTTACTGAACCAACCAAAGTTTTACAAAACATATTGAGCAAACCACTTTTAACCAGATCAACCTTTAAAAGATTTTTGCTCTAAAATGACTGGACAATAAGGAATGATTCTCTGGGTGTACTTGTGCTGTTGTTTGCATTCCTACCACGCAACAGGGTCACACAGGCGCAGGTAGGCACGTCTCAGAGCCCAAGTTCTGTCTAGAAGGAATGTGAAGCGTGGGCCATCCCCAGACCAGAGCAGATGCTCAGCATATATGACCCCGATGCCCTAGCATATAGCAGATTCCCTAGTGTATTACCAGGCTAGGAAAAGTTCCACTGAAAACTGGGAGCTGGGCTTGGCAGCGTGGGGGGGGCCCTGCTGCAAAGGCAGCAGCCTCCAAGTTCTGTAGGTCCGCCCCCAGGTTCCGGGTGTGGTGGGATGTCCACCCTACGGAAAGAAAGCCTGCTCTGTGTGCTTCTTAAAATGTTAGATCTGGAGGCAGAAAACAATAGGATGCTTTGGAGCTACCAGCATCAGATTACGATTTAGTTGAAATGACTGAGAGAACCATTTATGGCGTAAATAAAAGCATTGATGCAAATGAATTCATTGTTGCAAATTAATTTGTAGGTGCTTGAGCTTCAGTGGGCAAGTGGGCTACATCATAAACAAGGCCTGAGGTCAAGAAAAGCCTTCCCTTCATAACGTATTAACTTCCCCTCCTAGAGCCCTGGGGTCAGTGCTAGTCATGGTTTTGCCCCGAGGCTGAGAAACTGGGGTGGGTAAGGTGGAGCCAGGAAAAAAGACAATGGAAAGCTTCCCTCTGATGAAGCTGAAAGGGGTCAGGTCAAAGGTGGAAAGGCAGTAATTTGATAGCAGGCTACCCAAGTTGGTTGGGTCCATGCTCTTGAGACGAGCATCTAGGGTGAGTGCTTTTTAAAAAGCCTCAGACTTAAAGGAAAATGAGATTCAATTGTAACTACTATTCAATTATAACTCGTGCTAATCTGACAAGCTCAGGGAAGGCCTGGGTGGAGGCCTTGCAAACTCAGAGACCTAAAGTAACCACAAAGGATGGTCTGAAATTAAAACTTTTTAAACTAAAAGCAGTTTATGGCAGGTAGCCATGTCCTAGACTAGAATCTTCCCTGACAAAGGTTAATCTTTACCTTAACTGAGCCTGTCTATTGTCGTTTGCTTCTACCATATTGTACCTTTGGAATGTCAGGGTGACTTCCCTTTCCCTGGACCCCTCACGGCACTACCAATGCACCAGAGACTACAATTCCTTTCATTGTTATTTTTATTGTGTTAACTGTTGACTTAACTATCCTGTACCCAACTATGTAAAAGATGTATCATTTTACTTTTTATCCAACCCCAGAGGTTTTCCCACTTTGCTTTCTCCTGCCTCCCTAATTTATCACTAATAAATTTCAAGTAACCCACTTACATCTTCTCTTTTGATTGTAATGTATAAGACAAGGTGCAAAACTGCCATTATCTGGAGCATTATCTCAATCCTTTGAGATTTTGCTTCTTGGCAATTGTCGACAGTTTGGCTCAAATAAACTCACAAAAATTCTTTACAGGTTTGAATGCTTCTTACATTGACACTATCAAGAACTCAGTAGGAAAGGTAGCCGATGGAGCCTAGGCATTCCTGTTTTGTTTCCTGGTTCTCTGAATCGCTGCCAAACCCTGTAAATGGGAGGCTCTCCTGATGCCAGTAAGCCCTCAGCCAGTTCCACATGGGGTTACAGCTTGGTTTTGGATTTACACAGAGCTTCTGCACCTATTTGTCTTGTGCACTGGCTCTCTGAGGTGACAGCTCCTCCATAAAGTGGGAATATCACCCAGGTGGCAAAGTGAAGGCTAAATGTGACATGCATCCAAAGCAACAAAGAACACACTGCAAGTACTCAGCTGCAGACGGTGTCCCTTTGACAATGATTATATTTCAGTTAAAAAGTTTATTTTGAAAAACAGTTAATTATGGGCGTATGACATTTTCTCTCAGTTATGACGTTGTATACCAGGTGGCAACTTATTCATACTCGAGGTAAAATGTCTGAATGTGGGTGCTGACTGCAGTTATGATGCTAGTGCTGGAAATGTAGATGGCAAATGCTGGGGACTGTCTCACCGGGAGGCCAGGGGAGGCTCAGAGTGAGGGTCACCTCAAGTCTACAGCAAAACCTGCAGCCAGCTCTGAGCTGAGGTGCCACCCCAGCACTTAGAAATACAGTGGCTCAACCTTGAAGACATCAGGCTGTGTGAAATGAGCCAGTCACAAAAAGACAAATACGAGATGAGTCCACTTAGATGAGATACCTAGAGACCACAAGTAGAATGGTGGTCGCCAGAGGCTGAGGGCAGGGGAAAATGGAGAGTTGTTTAACGGGCACAGAGTTCTGGAGATTGGTTGCACAACACCGTGAATGTACTTAACATTACTGAACTATACACTTTAAAATGGTTAGATGGCCAATTTTACATTATGTGCATTTTACCACAATTTAAGAAAAATTGCTGTGACAGCAGGGTCTCTAGTGTGGGAGGATGTGAGAGAAGGGCTGATTTCAAGGCCCAAACAAATTTAGCAACTGGTACTCCATCAAGGACCAAATGGAAGCCTCTCTGATCGTAGGAAAGGCCACTTCTCACTAGGGGCTGGCTTCACAGTGAGATTCTCCTGAGGCCCCTCTGGCATATCCCAGGGAATTCAGAGAGATCAGGGCATAGATGCTACAGAGAAAACCTCTGCCTTGTGACAGTCAGAGGGTACAAAAACCAAAGGGCTTTTCCTGGGAGGTGAGTCCCCTATCACTCAAGATACTCAACCATAATACCTGGGAGCATCTGCCTTACTATGGGCCTGCAAAAGAACGGGTATCATTGCACTGAGAATGAGGGGACAGTGGTCTAGGCAGGCCCATTCAGGTGCTCTCCTCTGAGGGTTACTAAGGAATTTGTAAAGTTCTGAGAATTATTCTTAAGGTGACAGTACACTCAAGTCAACTCAAGGAGCATTTATTGAGCACCTGCTAGATCTTAGGCACTGGGTGTTTTCCTCCGTGCCTTTTACTAGAAACAGGTCACTGGACTAAATAAGTTTTAACTTCCTTCTTACTGTAAAGCACCATGCTTCTATGTTCAGCAATTGACATGAAAAATGGGAGAAGGGCAGCAAAAAACTTTAAGAAAGGTCAATGCTAATGATAAGGGAAAACTCGGTCTAAAATGACCCACAGTCTCCCCCCCACCCCCCGGGCTTCCCCTAGTGCCACCCTGCTATGTTCCCACATGCACCAAACCAGAAAGGGCTTTTCCCCGCCCTAAGCAAGATATAGCTGCCATGTAGGCGAAGCAGGTGCGGTATCTAACTCCTTTCCCCACTGTGCTTGGGGCTCAGACTTTGGAGCTGGACTTCTCTGGGCTGCAGGTGTAAAATAAACCTCTTGAACCCCGGGTCTCCGAGTGCCGCTTCATCTTTCTGTAAGGGGACTGTCGCCGGTTCTCCAATAGGACTGCTCTGTGTTTCTATGACACACTTTCTGTTTTTTGTTCTGGGCCATGATATCCCAGGACTGTGTTCTCCTCACAATTTGTCTAATGAGTGCCTTGTATTTTTCCAATTTTAGGTNCATGGACGGTATATAACTCCCTGCCCGATTGTGCTCCGGGCTCAGACTTTGGACTTGCACTCCTCTGGGCCCGCTGGCGGAAAAGAAACCTCCTGAACCCCGAGCCTCTGAGTGCAGCTTGGTCTTTCCGTAAGGGGACCGTC